CAGATGATACACACTTTATAGAAAGGGAACCAGGATGGAAACCAAACCCACAAAAAGAAAAGAAAAAAAGAAATAGGTGGCATAAAAACAGAAATTTCTAATCAGGCAACAGTGAAGCCAGTGATTTTAAAATATGAACGATTATGTGTAAACACAGAAGAGGCGACGTATTGGTTAATATCATCCTGAGGTTTGTGGCAGATCTCTGCATGGCCGTAATCTGGGGACGTGAAACGAGCCTTAAACTGATGGATTTGAATTATCCATTTTGGAATTTCTTTTTGTGTTGATAAACATATTATATTATCTTGAATCACAAGGCAAGAGAATTATGCTGGGGCATGCAGAAGATCGGGTTGTTACCCACTACGATGATGGGAATTAATAATCCTGATGAAACCCACAATTATTACTATATGGAATATAATTATAATGTCACTCGGGTGGTTGTTTTTACTTTTATACATATAAGAAGATATTTACTACTGATGGGGGCAGATATGATTGAAGATCCTGAATAAACTGTTGCACCAGTAAGCTATGTTACCCGATTATGTATGTTGGTTCTACCAATCCAGTGGAAAGACCTCAAAGAAGATACTATATGGATTATAAATTTAAAGTCATTGTCTTTTCTTTTTTTTTATTTAGATATAATGGAAAATATAGACATATATTTTTAAGAAGTGTGGGCAGTGAATCAAAGATGTTAAGAAATGTTGTGTATGGCAATTTTGCATGATAGTGGGTGAATAAGCTATTTAGTAGATTGATTAGTCTAAGAAAAGGGATTTTTAAGTGTTATATTTAGGGGAGTGGAGGAAATGGATAGAGTGGAATAAATGTTAAACTAGATTTTATGGGGAAGGCCGCTTTGGAATGTTATAGTAATATATATAGAAGATTAAATGTTAAAGTAGGACTTATCGTATAGTTTTAAAGTGGAGAAGTTATTTTATAATGTCATAGTATAATGTCTTTTTTTTTCCTTTCTTTTCTCTTTTTTGATATGTATGGATAAAGGGGGATGTTATAATATTAATAATATTTTTAGTAAGTAAAGGTCAATATCTAGAGGAGGGAGTAAGTAATCTGTTATGAATTAGGTTTTTTTTTTTGTTATGAAGAAGTCACAGGGGGGGATGGGTGGGGAGGGGGGGTTAGGAAGGGGGAGGGAGAGGGGAAAAAAAAGGGGGGGAAATTTGTATTTGAAAACTTTTTCAATAAAAAAAAAAATTAAAGAGAAAAATCCAAGTTTTTGCTTGTCATGGTCTATGTTCTTTAAGTGAAAAAGCCAAAATGATGTTGAGTCAATGTAGTTCAGGATTGTCATAGATTAGGAGTCAGGTTTCTATTGACGGATATTTTGTCATATACATTTTTAATTTTTTTTCTATCTGCATACTACACCAAGGATTTGCAATACAACACTAGCAATAAACATTTTGATGGTATATTCTTGAAAATCTCAATACATTACAAAATCATGATACATTCCAATCATACCACACACGAAGTCTTCCCGATTTTATAGATGTGGTTGATTTGATTTTTGGTAAATAGGAAGATAGATCTTTAACTCTTAAGAGCAGAATTTTTTTCCCTTGTGTATGGATTTACATAGATGAAAACTGGAAACAACTTTCTTTTTTTCTCTCTAAGTTTATAGCAATGAGTACATATTTGCTCTTTTTTCACTGTCAGTCACAATCCTAACTATCATCTTTGGTGAGATTGGAAGAGGGAACTCATAACCAAGCTTCTTATTCCTCGACCATGTTACACCCTGGTTATGGGTTGTTTAATGGAATAAAATGCTGCATGGGTTTTTTTTCCAGTGGGACATAACCATGATGGATTTATTCCAACAGTGGCTTCAGTCTAAAGCAGACTTAGTTTTGTGCTCAAAAATTGTTTTCTAATTATAATTTCATTTCTTCCATAAATTAAAATACAGCTACACTAAGCATCACTATGAATGCCTTCAGCTTGACTTGAAAGACAGATTCTGAAATTACTAGCTTGGTTTTAATTTCAGAACTGACATTTACTTGTCTAGTGTTCTGTTACTGCCGAAGTTAGTCTATGAGATGGGCTCTGAGATAAATATAGCATTTCAATACTTCTTGCTCTTGAAGGTTATATAAATCTGATATCTTACTGAAATTTTAAGCTTGTTTGTAGAAGGAAGGTAAGAGATAAGGCTATCATTCTTCAGACTGAATAAACACAATAAATAAATGAAGGAGCAGTGTATTTCAGTATTAAGATAAACAAACATTGAATTTTTTAAAAATCTCCATTCATTGGACAGAACCACTATTTTCCAGTCTTTTTAATCTGGAACCAACCAACATGCTACATATAATTTATATAACCACCCTTTCTCAACATTTTTCTATGCTCAAATTTGAAAATTTAATCATGGAACTTATAAAAATATATATTCAATGGTGACGCCAGGATTCTGGAGACTATTTATGGTTGACAATGAAAATATTTTCATTACTGAAACCGACAACGTATTCATTTTAAACAATTTGAAGTAATGTTAATTTTTATTCATAAATCTTATTTCATCACAAACTTACTCAAAGACTGCAATTCTATTCTGTGAGATTCTATTGAATTCAACTGGGCCTTTTCAAGCAATCACAATAAACATTTGGATGGAAGCAGAACATTGCAATATATTGGGATCAGTGGAAAGTGAGAACAGAAGAAAAATGGAAAAAAACCCACAAAAACCATCATAGTCATTACTTAACTTAAAATATAAAGGAGAACACAGTTATGAATGATCAAAGAATAGTATTTACTGTGCATAATCCCTTCAATTCAGAAGTTTTCAATTAATCATTACCCTGTCATTTAGGATTCTCTTCTCTTCCAAGGGCTTCCAAAAATCACTGATGGGAAACTACATATCTGGTCTCCAGCAACAATACTATGAATCAGGGGTGTCAAACTGGCGGCCGAGAGGCTGGATGAGTCACGGACAAGCCACGCCCAAGCCAGTTCCACAAAGGGAAAAAAGTCGTGAAATGTCACATGATAGCAACGTGACGTCGCGAGTTTGACACCCATGCTGTAAATCAACACTTCAAAACCAATACCATCTGCTAATTTGTTAAGTGCGGGTAAAAAAAGCATCCTTCAGATTTTTAGTCAATGGAAGCCAAGATATAGCTGAGTAAAAGAGTACAGAATATAAAGTGTAACTAGAGTCTTCCACAGGGTGCAATAAAAGACGGGTTTATGATGCTCATAATGAAAATAGGGCTGTTACAACTATGTCCCCAATATTATCTGGGACATTTTGGAGAATATAATAATTCATTCTCAACGCTTAGAAAAGAATAGCCTTTTATAATATATCTTATCTGTAACAATAAATTCAGGGTATTTGTAAAAAGTACCACACTTCCAATATCATTCACTTAAGACTCCGGCTAGAAAATCAACTACTGAGATACTTCGAGATCAGTATATAAACACAAAATGTAAACGTTCACATGACATTATTAAAAATTGTTTCTGTATTTCAAGATAATGTTGAACATTATGTAGTGTTGGAAATAAACTATCAGGGCATTATAAACAGATTGAACTTTATTCTTTAGAATCTTGATGTACTGTTGTTCTTTTATAGTCTATTTAATTTGTTATAATCCTACTGAAACAGTTCATTAATTTCAGTTTCTTTTCTGCATTGTACAGTTTCTTATCAACATTAATGAATTCATCTATATGACATCCATGTGCCAGAGAATCTGTTCTCTGGATGCTTTTCCTAATTCCTTATCTTATATTAAAGGTGAAATAAAAGTGTTAAAATTAATTATATCTGCAGATTACCTATATATGGTTTCATTAAAGAATCAAAAGGCAAATATAATTTTACAGCTTTATAATTGAACTATAATAATGCCATTTTGACAGCATATGGAGCTCCGTTAGCTTTCATTTAAGTATTTATACTTTATACTTTAAGTAAGTGACTACTGCAATGCTCTCTACATGGGGCTCCCCTTGAGAAGCACTCGGAGGCTCCAACTGGTGCAGAATGCGGCCGCGCAGGTACTTATGGGGGCGACATGGCGCTCCCATGTGACACCTCTCCTGCACCAGCTGCATTGGCTTCCAGTGGTCTTCCGGGTGCGCTTCAAGGTATTGGTTCTCATCTTCAAGGCTCTCCATGGCTTAGGTCCCAATTATTTACAAGACCACCTTCTGCCACCGATAACCTCCCACCGGCCAATACGCTCCCACAGAAAGGGCCTCTTCAGAGTGCCGTCGGTCAGGCAATGTTGGCTGGCGACCCCCCGGGGAAGAGCCTTCTCTGTGGGGGCACCTGCCCTCTGGAATGAGCTATCCCCAGGGATATGAGTGATCCCGGACCTCCGGACCTTCTGCCGGGCCCTGAAGACTTTTATTTTAGCAAGCCGGCTGGGTTAAAAATCTTTTAATTGGGGAATTTTCTGGGTAAGGGGTTTTAAATTGGGGAAACCAAAGATAAATTTAATTTCGTTTTTATGGTATTTTAATGTTTGTATTGTGTGTTTTTTAATTTTGGCTGTTCACCGCCCCGAGTCCTTCGGGAAAGGGGGCGGTATAAAAATTTAATAAATAAATAAATAAATAATATATATATATATATATACTTTATTGTACAAACTCAGGTAATTCCAAAAGACAATAGATTGACATGATTTTTTTTTTTTTTGGTTGGTTGGATCAAGGCATCTACAGTTTTGCATATGGTCATTTGAATGTTTTAATGAAATATATTACAACACATATAAAAATGTATGCAGTTTTTTAAAACAAAGTTCTTAACAGAATCCTATTTTTTTCTAAAGACCTGACAAGGAATCCTTCCATTCAAAGGAGTCCTCCCTAAAATTAATGACTTGGAAATATTTATTTTAAAAAATAACAAAAGATAAGGCTGCTTACAAGTTGATTTAAACTGTTGTTGACTACATCCATAAATTTTTAGCAGTATAATAATGGACACAAGTAGAAAGAAATTGCAATGGAATAGGTTTCCTGCTACACGTGGACTTTTTTCTTTGCAGTTTGAAAGAATATGCTGTGCCATTGAGGCATTATTGTAGACATGACATGGGAAAAGCCTTTCAAAGGGATGCTGAAAGAAGAATGGGAAATATATCAGTCATCACTGATAATCTCAGGAGCCTAAATCATCTAGTGCCTTCAACATAAACCCAGATTCCAAAAAGTACTTCTTCGAAATGTACAAGGTATGTTAGTTGGAGGATAACATGTTTTTTCCATCAACAAAATAATACATCCGGAAATTGGAAAGGAAAAACTTTCCAATTTCCTTAAAGGAAACAAATTTCTATCTTTTGCAAAAAAGAGAGAGAGAATAACTACATATTTATTGTGCAATAAAATGACCACCTGGAATACCTTTCATAACTGATATGAGATTTACTGAAGCTGCAATAGCACAGGTGACTGAAAAGATAGAGCAATGGAAGGACAACTTTTATTTATTTTGTTATTCCCTATCATAAGCCTTTATTAATGACATTTGACAGTAGGCAGAAGCAAAACAAAACACAAATGTGGATGTTATTCATTTCCTAGGTATGAGGGTGTTTGTTGGGGCACCTTGTAAGTATAGCCCTCTTGTTTCTTGTGTGGTTTCCAGTTAAGACAAAAATAAAAATAATATCCAAATTGAGTAGGTAAAGCCCTTAAGTATCTAATTATTGATTTTAAATCCTTTACCCCACAGAAATTTCAGTCTTCAGTCTTGAAGTTTTCTCTAAATTGAGAAGCTTATTTTACACATTCTTATGTGTACTGTCATTCTTATGACAGTACATATTGGTAGTTTTTGGATTGGGTTGAGAATATACATAGGTCACATATGATTTATTATCAAACTCCTAACTGTTCTGTCTTGTAGAGAAGTAAGATATTCTTAGTCTGAGAGGTAATTTTGCTGGTATGTGGTATTTGTATTTGTTGGTGCTTGTTTTTTATTTTTATGATCCAATATGTAAGGAGTTCCTTGGAGAACTTTGTATGTTTATACGGGTTGTCTAGCCTATAGAAATGGGCAGCATTCAAGCTATATAAATAAATGAATGCTATCTCCTTACATATCATCTGAGAGTCTTGATTACATAGAAATACAGCCTAAGTTGAACAAACCAAACAAATTTGTTATAGCTACCAGCCTGATAGTTTACCAGCAAGAGATTGGAAAGCTAGGTTGTCATTATTTCTTTATTAGGCTGTTGAAATAGAACCTGTTATCAGTGGTTCAAAACTCTATATTTTCACATACAATATATCATCTTTGAACATACTGGAATTACAGGCTAAATTGTGTAGAGGTTCAAATACCTAAACACAGAGAAAAAATATCCTCAGAGAGGATGCTTTAAAATTTTAATATAGAACAAATGTCACTGCCTAGCAATGTTCAAGATATAAAGGACTTCAGAGTTCAATAACAAATAGAGAGTTGTTATTTGAAACAAAAATGTAACTCCAGAGAACAATCAGTTCAGTCTTCTAGCAGCAGTTACATTATGTGGTCATAACCATTCTCTCTCCCTTACACAGTGGTCTCAAGGTGCACATTTTTAATGCATTTTAACAGTTTCCAACTAATGTTTTTTATTTCTCTAGCTATTATTTTCCGTTGAAAGAAAACTAGTAAAGGTTGAATCAGGAAAGGGAAAACAAATGGGAAAAGATCAATATTAACACTCTACAAATATTGACTTAGCAAAGTGACTTGGTTACTTTTCTCCCACCGGAATGGGTATTGAATGGATGACTTATTTAAAAGAAATTACCTGTAAAACTTATTAGTCTAGATAATAGTCAATATTTTCAAGCAACAGTGTATATTTACCAATTAATGTCTTCCGATCTGAGCAGGCTTGAAAATATTTCTTTCCAATTACCTTTCCTATAGATGGTTGTGATATATAATCTTTCAGGCTACTTAAGCATTTAAGATCCTAATATATTATTCAATTTTGAATTTCTCCGTGCAATTTTATTCAAGAATGCTTTGCTTTATGGAAAGGTTTGGGTTGTTCTACCAAACTTTCATATCTGCAGAGCCTGTATCTGGTGAGGAAACCATGAAGAACAATGAAACCTTACCTCTGTTCGATTTGCTTCAATAAAACTTTGAAGTTTTGTTGCTCGTGGTATCCATACTAACAAGAGTAATATATGTGATTTGCAGTGACTTCAAGTTCACTGATAATTGGTAATAAACATCTATATCTGCCAAGTAACATTGTACTCAAACATTACAGAATCTATCTGGTTTGAATTAATAAACATTAGAATCCATTTTTTGAAATCAGCATCGTTATGATACTAAAGGGAGCTCTAGTTTAGTGACCATAATTGGGACTGGCAGTCTGGCTGCTAAGTGCTACAGTTACTAAATGGAAAATCACATGACTGATGGTCTTATGACCTTATTTCTCCTTCAGTTGTTAACTGAAGCAACATGGTTGCTAAGCAAAGAATCACATGACTGCAAATTATGATTTTACTTCCTCCTTCTCTAATAACTGCTTGTGACAAAGCATGGGATGGTGATCACTTAACCATGGAATGCTACATTGGCCATAAATGTGAAGGATGGTTTTTTTTCTTTCATGTTTCTAACTTTGAATGGTTGCTGCATGAGGCAGGCATTAAGCAAAGACTACCTGTATGTCTTCTCATTATGAAGGAAAGTTCCCTAGGTTATGTTTTTTTCTCAATTATAAAACTAAAGTCTGAATAGAATAGTCTCTGAAATTGAAAAAAGTTATCAGTAAATGAATAAGATGAACTAACTTGTTAAATGACTGAGTATAATGAAACTTCCTAAGCTCATATCATTTGCCCTATATTTATTGCTTGAATTTGGATATAAAAGCAGAGTGCTAGTACGTTTCCATAATCTTATTTGCTATTTTCTAAGCTGTAATTATATTATTTGAGTTATACTATTTAAGCAAAAAAGAAACACTTATTTATGGAACTTTTATACTATTTCCTTTTCAATTGAGGGAAGAACACAAATTAATATACAAATCACAGCCACTGATGATACTTCAGTAGTACTGAGTCCATCTAATTTCACAGGCACAGGCAAATATTTAATTAAGCTTATTGCACTACAGTCAATGGCACAGTTAAATGTTTTCTGCTGGCTGCATCACAACCAATATTTGAAGTAAAATCTACTCAATCTCTCTGTTAAATCAATGGATTGACAAACAGATGGTTGATATACTGTATCTTATGTTCAATTGTTTTTTCAATTTTTGAACACAAGTGATACAGCAATACCAGCAGGTTTTTTTTTAAGTCAGTGGCAATAATGACAAATTATAATTTCTGACATTAATGAAGCTAAAGTTATCAATGAAATAATGGTGCAAAAGTGACTGTCCACTGTAAAATATAGTGTAGTACTATCTAATATTTATTATTGTAACAGGCCTTTGAGATGGATTTTGCCCGGCTTGCTGAAGGACTGTACAATAAAGCAAAATATTCACATTTGTTGAAACTGATACATTTGGTTTTTTTCAAAGCAATCCAAATTTGTAGTGATTTGAATTTCACTCATGATTATAGTATTATTTAAATCGATTGTGAACTATTTAAAATTCATTAGCACAATAAAGTAACAGAGTCCAGTAGATTTTATTCTGCTAGTTGTTGACAACTATAGTGGGTAGTGCACTTCTCCGTTTCATTAGCGCAATACCAGAAACAAAATAAAAATTTGTATTTTTGCAATCATTCTTGAATTAACAGGTTTTGGGGTAAAAATTATGTTGACTTATCTTTTTCCAATTGACATATTGCCCTGAGGGTCACAATTTGGTTTCTAAAATTACAGGTATAGTTCTGCTTTACTGGCTTCAATCCACCTTATATGCAGGTATAACATGTGACACACCTGTTCATTACTGATGAAATCTATTATAAAACAGATTTGTATGGAGGCTTTAGCTATCTGATTCCTAGCAGTTTTATCAATACACAGAAAAACAGTATATTTTGGGGCATATGAAGAAAAATCTGCATCTGAAACAATTTACAGCACCTATTTACATTTTTAAATCATATCTAGAAATATTGATCACAATCCATGCATTTTCTTTAGGCACTGTATTACCTAATGGCACTTTTACCTTTTTTTTTTTTTGAAAAGCAGCCTCCAATGTTAAATGATTAACTGCAATCTGAATTCTGCTAAGTTTCCAGCATAGTTTGTGAGAAGACTTCAGGTATGGGGGGAGGGGGGATCCTCTAAAGGCCTGGCAGCATTTATATATACTTTCCACTGTTCATATTTTGCGATTAACCATTACATGGTATTTTTTGCTATATGGCTATTTTAGTTACCTGAAGAGGTTGCTTAGCTTCCTTCTTTGACACAAAGTTCATTTTTAAAAAACCTGGGGAAATCCCAACTCTCTAGAGAGATACTGTAAAATTCTGTTACCTGCATATTATTTGTACTTCCTGGGAACTATACTTGCTGTGAAATGCTAACTTGCCTCCAAAGACTTTTAAAACAAGGTCTTTTACATTACTCTTTAAATGTACTTGTAAAGAACAATTGGATGCTGGTAAGTGCCTTGAGATATTTTCACCTAGTTCAGAACCTTCTATTTCAGCAAGTAGTTACAATTCATTTATGTACCTCATTTTGAAGAATATTGAAAGTTTGGTGTGGTGGATAAGGCATCAGTCTAGAAAGTGGGGAACTGAGATGTAGTCCTGCCTTAAGCATCTAGACAGTTGAGTGACCTTGGGCTAGTCAGTCCTAGGAAGGCAATTATGGCAAACTACTTCTGAAAAACTTTGCCAAGAAAAGCGCAGAGATTTGTCCAGGTAGTCTCAGAGAATCTGACATGATTGAAAGGGGGGGGAAAATTAAGCATACCCATTATATATGTCATAAATATTACAAATTATAAAGCAGAATTTATCTTATTTATCAACCATCATGCCTTCTGTCTCATTCTAGCAATTTGACTCTTTTATCAGTAGTTTGATATAACTAACAGATGTTCTTCAGATATCTCTAATTATATAAAAAGGTTGAACTGTACTGAATAGATCTTTACATGGGCATTGGGAAATATTTGTACTCAAGGGCCATGTGGACAAAGATGAAAGAAACATCAGGGAAAATGATCACACAATCATCTTTAATATGCAGATTAGCAAAAGCTAATGCTGATATTTGATCATTACTAACTCTAAAAAACCACAAATACCCACCAAGTAAGAGAATTACAAAAGAATTTTTGACAAAAACTTTTTTTTTTTTTTTTTTGGTATACTGGATAAATATATCAAAAAATTTAAAAGTATGTTTTTCTTATTTGCTCGGTATCAATTTCTTGCAAACTCAGCATGTTCTTGTAAATGAGGGGTAGACAACCCATGAAACTTATGACCCCAGAAAACTGTAGGAATACCATATATCAATTTGATTAGTGATTTGCAACGATCTGTGATTTGCAGCAAATGACTAATTTGGGGCAATGGTTTTTCTCCCAGTTTTTAAATGAAATAATCCACAGGTATATTAATCGTATAGCGGGGTTAATGCAACTATTTTGAGCCAAATTCTATCATCCTCTCCATGGCGCATACCTAGCACATGGTTGGATGGGGAAGCAGAAAGTAAACATCCTCTGCAAAAGGATTCTCTTCCTCCTTGGAACTCATTTGTTTATCATAATTAATCCTTCCAGATGTGCTCCTGATACCTCACACTTTAGATCCAACACCACTGTATAATAACAATGGAGGGCAGATAAGACAGGCAGACAGCAGGCTGATGATCTAAAATATGCTACAATGGTTTCAGCATATGAATCTATGTTTCCCAGATATAAGATGAAATGGTGAATTAAACACTCACATGCCATGCATCACTGATATTTTAACACATGGGTGTCAAGCTCGCCATGTCACGTTGCCGTCATGTGACATTTCATGACATTTTTCCCATTTGTGGAGCCGGGGTGGGCATGGCCTGTGTGTGACACATTTGGCCACCAGTTTGACACCCCTGTTAAACACTTTAATATTTAAATAAAAAAACACCTAAATCTGTTATTTTGATTCAGTTTTCCAAGCTACTTTTAGAGACAGCTAAATAAGATGCTCTGTAATCTTTACAAAATAATGCATCTTCATAATGCTGATTTTTTTTTTTACTTCAGAATTTTTAGAGAATGGCATTTGTTTACAGAATGGCAATGTAGTGCTCTTCTGACTAAGTCACCAGACATCCTGTGAATAATGCAAACATATTTAGAGCCATTTCTTTTATTTGGAAGCTTCACTACACATCACCATCTGTCCATCCCCTCTGGTTATGGGAAATACATTAAAAATTAGTCATTGTACTTCATTTCTGTAAAAAGAAATCTTCACAAACTTCCATTTATTTATATTTCCATACAAAAATGTAACATTAGCATACTGCTATTAAACCACAGTGGTTCTGGAACAGTTCACAATAATAATATCAAACTCATAGATCAATCATTCTGCCAAAACCCAGATTTTAGGTGCAATTACAAAATGCATTTCATTCAAATAAATCATAGCATCATGAAAACATGCAAAAATGAAAATCCATGAAATTGGTACAAGGTAATGTTCTACAGGGAATTGTTAAGCCTCCCAAGACAAACCTGAAGGTACCAAACTCCCTGTCTCCTGGAGACTTCACACACTCTTGCTTTGGAGTAATACACAGGATTACAATTCTTGCTGCAAACTTTTCCAGTTGTACAGGTGATCCTTGATTTATGACCACAATTGGGACTGGACCTTCCACCACTAAACATGTGAATTGTGCCTGATTATATGACTTTTTTGCCATGGTCATTAAGCAAATCATTGCAATTGTTAAGTGAATCTGGCTTGCCCCATTGACTTTGCATGTCAGAAGCCATTTGGGAAGATTGCAAATGGTGATCATGTGACCCTGGGGCGCTGCAACCGTTGTAAATACATGCCAGTTGCCAAGCAACCAACATTTTATTACATGATTACCAGGACATTGCAATGGTCGTAAGTCTGAGGACCAGTCATGAGTCATGTTTTTCAGCACCATCATAATTTTGAATGGTTGCTAAATGAATGATCATATGTCAAGGACTATCTGTACCTTGCTGATATCATTTCCCTAATCTGAGTGTATGAGAGGTAGGGCTCACACACTGCACTGCCTTTCTGAAGACTAAACAACCAGAATGCAAAAATTAAATATATTTCAATTGTGCCAACTGCTGACCACATCCACCCAGCAACTGGGCAGAGAACCCCTTGCTAAAATTTTTGAAGCCCACCCCTGACCATAACTGACAAGCTATCATGGTAAGCTTTACATGCTAAGACCAAAACATATACTTTACAATTCTTTACAATCTAATTTCATGTATTTAATTAATAATACAAACTCCACTAAACTGAATAGATTTGCCTTTTAGAAATAATGTTTAAAAATTCAGTTCTTTTTTGACTAGAACTGGCCCAGCTTCAAATTCCCAAACAGCTATGAACTCACTGACTCTGGATTACTTACTATGCTTATCCTACAATATTGTTTAAATGGGAAATTCTCTAGAATTCCTCAGAGGAAAGATGAAATATAAAATAATTGTAACACCTGAATGGGAATTATTGTGGCACATTTGTTCCCCTATGTAGATCAGTGAACCCCAACCTTTACGGCTTGGTGGCCTAGCCAGGTGGTGGTGGAAAAAGGAACAGGACTGCGCAAGTGGCAGCCCGCCATGCACACTTGCGTGCAGGCCTGCACTTGTGCAAATCAAGCTGCATGTACACCGGCCTTCCACTTGTGGAGTTGCGAGCATGCGCACCGGCCTGCTCCTTGCACAAGATAAGCTGCACGTGTGCGCCAGCCAGTTGCAAACAGGCCACAGCCCAGTAATGGAACATGGCCTGGGGTTTGGGGACTCCTGATGTACATTATTGAATTGCTAAGCACACATCAATAAAAATAGGTTTTGTTTAAGATACTGTAAACGTTCAGCCAATTATTGCCAGAATTTGATTATCTTTGATGCAGAGTTAGTTGTGGTTTCTGTTTTCCAGAAAAGAGTCAAGTGAATGTAAATTCAGTAGGTCTATGGAAAACAGCACTACATCATCTACTACAAGTGACAACCTGTACAGCATTTCTTTTTAAATAATTATAATTGAGCAAGTCTTTTTCTCGTGTATAACTAGTAAATGTTAATTGTCATTTTCTTTTTTACCAATAATGATTTAAGCTTTTAGAAGACCATCACAAAGTGCATTAAACTGTAGCATACTGTACTGTTGGTAGAACAGCCTGTAAAATCATTTTATCCAGGGCTGAGTCTGAAAAATATATTCTGGTATAATAAATTGAATACATCAAGTTCAGTAAGAAGACAACAATAGGTTGGGACCCCTTCAGGACTCATTGGAGCCTTACTTGAGAGGCCTAAATCACTTGCAACTTTTTGAATTATCTAAGCCTTTTACACTTGGGAAAGAAAGATAATAATCACTTATCATGGATAAAGTACCCTATTTATAACAACTATTCGCCTTGCTTGACAGTTTATATTATAGTGGCATAAGGAGTACCCCAGGGACGCAGTCCAGTTACTGCAAACTTGTGTCACTATAATAATTAAGGACCAGTGTTAGCACACACAAAGGAGTTCTAGCCAATGAGTGAACAAAAGAATGTTAATCTTATGGTCATCCATTCCATCAAGTATGAATGTGTGTCTCTGCTCATGAACTCTTGTCATTATTTAGCCATTTCTCATTTGGGCAGTTATGCAGTATGCAGATTATTTAAGTAGAAGAAAGCTTTTTCACTGTGGTTATTCAAATAAAAGCTGCATTGAAAGTTCAATAAAAAATATTGCTAGAAATAATTTTTGCGAGGCTAATATGGTGTGAAGCCAGACGTGGAATTTTCAAAGTCTAATTCCTATTATTTCTCCAGAGTAATTATCTCATATTTACACTTAAAACTATTTTCTCTTCATAATGCTTTTCTGAGTCATTTATTTATCTATCAGCAAGACCAGAACACAACCATGCACATCTAATAATTCATATTGAATATTCTGCCATGTAGTCCTCCCAATACGTTATTGATGTTACCTTGATATACTGGAGTAGTAAATCTGATTTGTACTAAAGGAAACTGTTAGTTCCTACACTTGTTCACTCTGCACAGTTGAGGCGTTGCAGGATTAGGTAGTAGTTGTTACTCAACTAATATGTCTTCTCTCAGGTATTACCTATAACATGGCCACAACTGAATGAAAATGGCAAACAATATAAACGTGATTCTATTATGCTTCAGATTATAGCACAAACCTGCAGTCTAATGAAGATCTATGCTTATAAGTATATTGATTGGGAGCTGTCCAGAATTGGCAAAAGGATGTGCAGCTATATAAATGTTTTAAATAAACCTCAATAAAATAAATTAATTGCATCTGACAAAATATTACTCAAAAGTGATGATAATTAGTAACTGAGGGAGGGGGAAACCAATGTTTATTCCATAATCTATAAGAGAGATGAGTAAATCACAGGATCATTGAAGGAAAAGGATAGCTGGAGTTATTGTTGAGTTGTTTTAATGAGAACTCTTGATATTAGTGGAGAACTAATTTTACAAATTGGGAAACAGCAAAGTTGTATTATTGTATAGAAATGTTGATGTGCTCAATAGGTAGCCAGAAATAGGTAAAGCTGGGGAGGCTCAGATGCAATGACTCATTTAACATTTAATTATACCTTAAATTTACATATAATTGAGAGCCAGTGTGGTATAGTGAATCGTTCTGGATAGCGAGATGGGCAGGAACGATGGTTAGGGTCAGCAAAAGTTATCTCTCAATCTGCAATGAATCAGTGTGATGACATTCTATAACATTGAATACAAAAGGCTTTATTCTGCTGGGCATTGATTCAGGGCAGCAATAACATATGACTATTATTACAAGCAACTGTTCTTGTAGATTCTTTGACCATTGGCCACAGTGCCATTATTCAAATCCTATACCAGATCCCATTGGGGAAACAGCTAATTCCTAGGATATCACATAGACACTGACTCATCTATGCAATAAAAAAACCTTAATCTTTGTTAGAAATCGGTTCCAAAACTCTTTTTTACAAAATTAGTATTTACACTTGGAACTGGCAGTTAGTCAAAACATTGCAAGGCATGTATAGAGAGCTTTTTCTTTCCAGAGCACAAGCATGTCTATCCATAGGATATCTGAGATAACGTTCACTTTTTATTTACTACAGTATTTTCCCACACCTGGAAAAAATATAATTTTCCTTTCAGTTATTCATGATGTTATTTAAACCTTTGTTAGTGCGCCCACGTGTGTATAAGAAGAGTAATGCAATAAAATGCTCAACTGAGAACTGAATAGTTGCAAGAGCGCATTGGTCTTCTAGGAACTTTTTTTTTTAATAGCGAATGAAAGGAGAAAGAGTATTAAAATACCAGACAGCAGCCTTAATTTCATCTGTGAAACATCAAAGGGCCTAAGACACTGCAATTCTTTTCAGGAAAACTTATCGCTTACAGAATTCATCTTAACCACTTAAGGATAAACATCAACCCAATAATCAATGATTATTTTCATTGTGACTTTCCTTGATCTTTCCTAAAATAAAATCCAGAGTTTTAAGACTGCCTCTTTTCTGTTTCTTGCCACTGCTCGCCTGCAAATAACTACGGGAAATTTTATCTTGCTAAGAATCTGATGGTAGTCGAAAAGGGCAAGAGGAAAAGAGAACAATAACAGCGAGCAGAATAAAGAGCTTCGGCCGCTCATGCTAAAAACCAAGCAAAGAGGAACGCCGTTTTCAGACTGGGGATTGATGTTCCCGCCCGGCCGCTTTTGAGCGGTGCACCGTTTGGACTTGGGGCGGGAGTCTCAGCTTCGCTGCCGAGGAAAGGCTTGGAAGTGGTCCTGATGCCGCGGTAAGAGGGAAATTGGGGTGAGGGAGCAGCGGAGGGGCACCATTGCAGCGGATTGGCTGGCGGCGCAGGGGCGAGGTTGGGTATGCTGGTCGAATTTAAATTCGAACGCAGACGAAGACCAACGAGTTCTAACGGTGCCACGGACTGTCAGTTAAGAGCAGGGGTCTCCAAACTTGGCAACTTTAAGACTTGTGGACTTCAACTCCCAGAATTCCTCCGACAGCAAGCTGGCTGAGGAATTCTGGGAGTTGAAGTCCACAAGTCTTAAAAGTTGCCAAGTTTGGAGACCCCTGATTAAGAGTGTCTGTTAACCGGAGGACGGACAGAGACCTATTGCATTAATAACTGTGTTCCACTACACCGACAAGAGGAGTGTATTTAGGTGCTGTTGTTATAGGTGTTGAGACTGTCGAAAGAGTGCAGAGAAAAGCAACAAAGATGATTAGCGGACTGGAGGCTAACACATATAAAGAACGGTTGCTGGAATTGGGTATGTCTAGTTTAATGAAAAGAAGGATTAGGGGTGACAGGATAGTGTTGAGATATCTCAGGGGTTGCCACAAAAAAGAGGGGGTCAATCTATTCTCCAAAGCACCTGAGGGCAGGACAAGAATCAATGGATGGAAACTAATCAAGGAGAGAAGCAACATAGAACTAAGGAGAAATTTCCTGCAGAGCAATTAACCAGTGGAACGACTTGGCTCCAGAAGTTGTGGGTAGGTCCAACACTGGAAGATTTTAAGAAGAGATTGGACAACCATTTGTCTGAAATGGTTAAAGGGTTTCCTGCTTGAGCAGGGGATTGAATTTGCAGACCTCCAAGGTCCCTTCCAACTCTTTTATTCTATTCTAGGTAAGATGCTACTTTTTGCATGTGTTTGGCAAGTTAGTTTTTCACCCTTGGCAGCACCTGGAAAAGTGTTTTCTTGACAAGGTTTTTTGGAAGTGGTTTGCCATTGCCTGTTGCTTAGGTCTAAAGGGTGACTGATCCAAGAAGGCCAGTTCATTGGCTTTGTGTCTAAGGTAGGACTAGAACTCATGGTCTCCTGGTTTTTAGCCTGATGCCTTAACCTTTACACTAAGCTGCAGCTGAGAGTGCTATTAATATATAGAAATAACTATGGGAGTTGTGCTTTGGAGTGTTTACAGCCTTTGAGTTTCCTCTGCCCCATGGTAATAAATATTTCTAACAGTGAATCGCCTCCACCAGCCTGGTGTCCTCCAAATGTATTACATTAGCAGCCCAATCATTTCCAGCCTAAGTGGCTTTTCAATTTGGAAATGATATGAAAAGGGCACTATATTGTGAAAAACTTCTATGAACATATGGGATAGAATATTCAGGTGAAAAGTGATTTCCACCTGCTTGTTGCTAGAGAGCCAAACATGCTTTAGCTTGATAAATTAGGAAAAAGTCCTGCTGAGATTTATAATGTTTGAGGATTTCCTTTTTTTTTTTTTGTTTACTTGAAAAGGTAAAAAATACAACACATACAACACACATACCTCATTTTGTTTCCTAGTATGAAATGAAGCATTCTTTTCCACCTCTCTTCATTTGATAGTATTTTAGCTACTAATACAAAAGGTGGCTTCCAGGCCTGACATTAGCATTGATGAGAATTCCCATTTAAATGCTTGTCCTAAACATTTACTTTTGAGACTTTATATTGTTTCAGAAAAGTTTATATATTTAGCATAATAAAAGGATAGATGAGGTTAGTCCTGTTCTTTGGGTTCACACATCACATTAAATCATGGTGGCTTAGCACAATGTTATTAGGATCTTCAGCAACCTATGATTAAATATATGATTCCAACTAATATGTATAGTTTTTATTTTTGAACCAAGCATTCCTCTTGACAGTTGCTGCTGCTGGGAAATATACAATAATGATGATCCATTGAGTAAACATAACTTATTCATAATTTTCACTGACCACTAACTATTGGGGTTGGATTCATATCATAGGCTATGCTAAACTATGGTTTATGGTTTAGTTTGGCAGGCAAACGCAGGTAGTGCTATCCTAGTAAGATGTGCAATTAAAGTAAAAAGTGAGCAACATCAAACTTTGTGTTTATGCAAAATGCTAGACAATAATCTGCTTGACAATTTGGTTGATTTTGGCTTTAAATATTATGTGAATTCAGCCATAATCAGCATATATATTCATTAGCAAGAGCTTTAAAAATGTTCAGGCATATGTACATATGTGCGCTGACATATATTTGACGTACTTCTATTAATTCTCCAAGTAGTCAATTTTTGGTGACTGGAAGTTCTACTTAACATGATGGAGGAGAGCTAAGGATTAAATTCTGAAGTAATAAGGCAAATTGCTCCAGTATGTAGGTAAATAAACAAGATTTTTTTTTATTTGGCCTTGATACTGTGAGGAGTCTTTATTTTTAAACTATGCCAGGTCTATTTCAGGATTTGCTCTACAATTTTATAGTTCTTTAAAATCAGAGATGCAGAAAATGTGGCCCAAAATCTGCAAAATCATGCTCCAAAAGGCAAGACAAGAAACAATGGTTGGAAACTAACCAAGGAGAGAAGCAACCTAGAACTTAAAAGGCATTTTCTAACGTGAGAGCTCCAAAAAGAGATTGGACAACCAATCTGAAATGGTATAGGACCATGATGGCGAACCTATGGCACGCGTGCCACAGGTGGCACGTGGAGCCATATCAGTGGGCGCGCAAGCATTGCCCTAGGTCAGCTGCAGTGCACATGAGCGTGCAGGCCAACTGATTTTTGGGCCTTCCGGGCACACTGGAAGTTGGCAAATGGGCCATTTCCGGCCTCCAGAGGGCCTCCAGGGGGGTGGGGAAGGCCATTTTCATTCCTAGAAAGCCTCTGGAGCCTGGGGAGGGCGAAAAACGGGCCTACTGGGCCCACCGGGCCATCACGTGCCAAAAACAGGGGGAGTATGGGGTGGTCGCACATGCATGTGCGGGGGGGGCGGGGGGGCGCATTGAATTGTGGGCGTGGGCATGCACATGTGCAACCCCCCCCCCGCATAACCTCCGCTTTTGGCATGCGACGTCAAAAAGGTTAGCCATCACTGATATAGGATATTCTGCTCGAGCAGGGGCTTGGACTAGAAGACCTCCAAGATCCCTTTCAACTCTACTATTCTATATTCTATGTTCTGCATGTGACTCATTAATATTTCAGATTTTCCCAGAATGACTTGGATCAAATTCTAGATCTTGTATTTCCATTGCTGAGGAATTATGAGGTGTACAGTATAATGGATGTCTGAACTATTTCAAAAGCTTAATGTAGCCATAGAAATGGTGGTAGTAATAATTTATTATGGTTGACCAGAATTCTCAGAGTTATTCACATAATTACTTTCTATTTTGAATAAAACCAAGAACATAAAATTATAACTAGGTCACTGAGGCAATCAGGGCATATTTAATTTATAGGCAGTGTAAAAAAAATCTAACTACATTCAAAGAAATAAAATTTACAGGTATGATAAAAGCAACTGTACCAAAAATAATTCAAAATTGTCTGGATACTTTGCCAACTAGGGAATTATGAAGCAAGTCCTTGTGTTCTTATAGAAGGAACTACTGGCCATGAGCTATGGATTCAGTGGATCCTTTCCCACAAGGGTACAACCTCAACTTGTAAGAGTTTTTTGCCTTGAGACCAGCTTTTCAAAGAGCATTGAAATATGTTAATGTTCTTTTGGGTTTAGGGACCCTTATTTGGTTTAAGTATCTTGCTGGTTCAAAAAAAGGCAGTTGACTTCTCAGAAACACTTTCTTGGGTAGGGCAGATTGATCTCATCAGGTGTTCAAATTTGTAACACTTTTAAACTATATGATTGTCATAGAAATATGAATTCTAGCTGCTTTTCATGTAATGCAGATTATACATTTTTTTCATATAGACTTATTGATGTAACACTGGTAGATTCCTTGAGGTTAAATGTGCAGAACAGCTATATGCTGCTGTTTTGGATTGCTGATTCTCAAGATGGCCAAAAAAATGAATATACCATGATTCATAACATAATATGTTTTGAGACTGCTAAGAAGGTTATAGGATTTCCTTCAGAGCAAAAAACAAACAAACAAACAAACAAAACAAAACACCAAACTATTGGTGGAATAGTGACCTGGTGCCTTAAGTTAGAAGTTACTATCTCCAGTCTTGCTGCTGAGAGATGATGGGAAGCTTCAAAACATTCAAAATATGCCAAATTTCCAATATTATGTTGTCACACCAGCTTTAATGAATGGGTATATGTGCACCTTATCTCATAAGAACATAAGAATTCCATGTCTCAACTGAGCCTATACTCAAAAGACAGAAAGTGGTTCCAAGACTTGTTAATCATTTATGATAGGTTCCGTTGAAATCATCTGAGCAAGAGTGTTATGACTTTCACATCATTGGATTTCTTGGAAAATAAATTTAATTTAAAGAGGCTTATGTATTTTTACAGTCTCTATATTTACAGGGCCCTGTATTTAAAAAGGGAACATGCTGCTAAGAATTTTGTGAAATTGTTTTACATTTACCAATAGAAGAAAGTATACGTAGCTTAAGGTTGAATAGTGGAGTCCTTGGTGTTCTCTGACCTTAGTTGTTTGATCATAGATGTTTCATTACCTGACTAGGTACCATCATTGATACTAGTGAGCGTGGTGTTTACTCTGGGTTTTCTCCTTAGTACCCTGATCCTGAAAGCCTATGAAGAATTAAGGACGCCAAGGAAAAATATGTACTCTAATCAAAGGAAGTATGAATGAGAAAACCATTCCCCTACCAACAATGGCAAGGCAAGTTGCTGTTTATAAACAGGGAGCAAACACCACACTCAGTATCACTAATGAGTATGTACTCTGTACACTGTACCTAGTCAGGTAATGCAAGCAAACAAGATCAGAGAATACCAAAGACTCAACTGTTCAGCTTTTATTGTCTCTTGGCAAGAATATGAGTGTCTCTTACCGTGAAAATATAAATACCATACAACTCACAGTATCTTATTCTTTTTATACACAAAAATTTTCAGTAATTCCTTTTCAAAATAATCCTAAAATCAAAACTAGCAATATAAAGTCATGCTTCAAAGATGTCCTTAAACTTTTCTCATTATGTTTCATCTCAAGAGAATAAAGTAAAAATATTTTATTGGAGATTGGCTTGAGCGTTGGCCTTGCTTACATATTTTTACATGGAAGCATGTCTCATTGCATTCATAAGACTTAACTTTTGAGAAGATGAGAATAAACTACCTCCAACTAATAGGCAGCGTTAGCCAAAGCACATCATGTACACTGTTATACATTTCATTGATTCACTGTCCCATTTGGCTATTTGATCTAAATGATAAACCAGTTCTTAAGTAAAGTGTATTTTTTCCTCCTATAACTGTATGATATAGAAGAGCAATACAAAAGAAACGTAATAAATGCTTCTCAGATTATGCTTTCTATTTCACAATATAGCCTTGAATTGATGCTCCTTCACTTTCCCATTTAAGAAATGTCATTCCTTAAATCTGTAAAGGTCTTTGCAACTGTTGAGTTTTACTACTATTGCATAGGGGAAATATGTACCTAAAATAATTGTGTAACAGAAATGTGGCAACTCGATTTTTCTTCTCCTGGTAAAGCGGTAATTTCTTGGACTGTGAATGGCTAACGAGTTCAATTATTTCCAAGTTTTCAGCATCTCCACAGGCAGTGGAAAGAAAATTTGGGTATGCTGTAACTCTGCTGCCACCCAAAGTCTCTGACAGATTTTAAATAGCATACTGCTTGGCCAGTCTACCGTTTTTCCTAGATTTTTTTTTTTTTTCAGTTTGCTATAGTTTAATGGGATTTTCATGTAGTTTGCCATTTATCCTAATCATAAAGCTATCTTGGGTGCAGATTCCACTGTACTTTTGCTTCCAGCTTTCTTTGAAGTCCACCATAAAAACTTCCATCATAACATGCCTTAGTGTCGAATGCAAATACATGTCCCCTACAGCATCTTTGCAGAGTGAATGTATTAATGTACACAGTGTTTCCTTGCTGCCACTGAGATACAGAAGATGTAATGGAGTCTGCATTCGTTAAGCAATACAGGCACTGTGTTTTAAAAAGAACATTCCATTAAGAATTTTGTCAAATTCTTTCAGCTTTGATTGTATCTTGGCAAGAATGCAAGTGGCTTTTAACATGAAAAATGTAAATACCATATAGCGTTGCTTGTTTGTTTTAAAGACAAAAATGTTTTTCATTTTCATTTCAAGCTAGCAATATAAAGTCATACTTCAAAGATGTCTTTAAACTTTTCTCATATGTTTCATCATAAAAAAATAAAGTAAAAATATTTTGTGGGAGATTAGCTTGGGCTTTGGCATTGCACACAGGTGCCATTTATGCAGGTAATTTTTTGTGAGGTTTACTCATTCTAGCGCTGTGGTTGTTTGGAAACAGGAAAATGGCCTGTTTCCAATGTGATACCTGTAATATTCTTTTCTAAAATGAAAACCCTCTGCAAATGTTGTTTAATCTAAAGTTATCTTCTGATGCATTTATTAAATGATTTTTAAAGGTTCTTAGTTCCTTCACAGGGAAAAAAAGGTCCTTTAAATATTGTTAAAATTTAAGAAGGTACATTGGAATTGTCTCTGGGAACAATAGTCTAAATTTATGTTGACCTTTCTTTCTTTAAGTATTTAGTCTGCATTCAATAAAATTCTGATAACTGCTCTTTAGAAGACAGCTGTACAATCTAAAATATTATAAATATTCAGCTTTTCATTTCTAGTATTGCCATTAACAGCTGGGCATCTAGTTCAGGAAAACAGATTTTACAGAGGAAGCTGGCACGTTCTTGAATCAGTACAGTGAAGAATGCGAGAAAATATTTTCTTATGGTTTAGGGACCTGTAAAGTCATAGAGCATCTGTTCCTTAATTCAGTCATAGTCTAGCAGCACTGAATCATGTTAAGAGCTGAAATATAAGAATTGCTTTTTTCACCTTGAAAAATAACGAGGTAAGTTACTATGCAATTCTGCATAACAATGTTCATTGTTAGTACTTTATAGTTAATAAATATTTTGGGTAATCTGATATTGGTATTCTAATCGAAGTGTTTATTTCAGTTGTATGCTACATGTGAGAAAACAGCACAAATATAATCAGTTTTCAAAGCAGTATTTACCAACTTGTTCAATGTATAACTGTATGAGGTTAGCTCTTACTGTAAGAAAATGTTTGCATGTGGTTGAGATTAGTTAATGGGGATTACTACTAGCTACCAGTAAAGGATTTTCTTAGATTAAAATTTCCCTTTGCTTTCCTTCTTTTGTAGTGCTAAAAGAGCTTTGAAGCTGGAAAATCTTATTCCAGAAAAAGTAAGAGTTTTGTTTTTCTGTCCTGTATTTAAATTATTTTGTAAATTATTTTGTAGAAAATGTGTGTGTGTAAATGAGCAACATTTCAGAAAAATTATCATAAACATTTAATAATGATACTATATATCTGAATGTATAGAAGTGATTGCTAGAGATCTTTGAAGGCAATACTATTTTATATAATATTCTGGCTTTGCATGAAACAATTGACTATAACTAAGGAAATATAGTGCTGTTCTTTGTTTTGTTATATTAAAATCTCTTTCCAGCACCAAATGTTTTTATGACATTGCTTATTAGAAATTTGTTTTATAATTGGTGAAGCAAATGCACTGCTATCTGAATGTACATATAACAATATGCAATTATGATAATACTATAATCTGGATATTATAAACTGCAAAATTGAAAGCAAAACAAAGACATTTTTATGATCAGAATGTAATTAGCTGAGAGAAGTAATTTAACATGAAATAATATACTGTAACATTGTAATAAATTACCCATTCAGTTATCACAATAAAAATGAAATTATATTGTTTTTGTGTTTCTCTCTTGTTCTCCCTCATTGGTAAAATGTGGCACTGTGTGTTTCTAAACCCATTGTGCCATGACATATGCCAGTTTATTTTCTTCCAATACCAATTATGGGTGTTTCTGTGACGCTAAACCAGGTAGCTTGTGGAAGAGAACAAATAATAAGAAAATATATTAAAATGTAAATAAAATGAATTTCCATTTTTGTTTGCATGTGCCATTTTTTTTTTATTTTACAGATTTGCTACAGCTTAGCTAAACTGAAAATTTGACCTTGCTAAAATATGTATATTTTCTCTTTGTTTGGATTGAAACAAAATTCAAGCCAAACAAATAACAATCATTAGCAATGTAATTTGCAATTTCATTTTCTATTATTCATTATGTGCTGTAAATACAGCTGTGACTGTAATTTTGCATCTGTTTTCTAGGTCAGAAGGGTGTTTTTGGAAACAAGCGATCCAGCTTGAAATTATTTTATTCCACCCTAAAGCTGCTTTTTCTTCTGAAATGGAAATTTAAAAGGGGGGAAATGTTTATTTTAAGAATAATTATTTGGCATGTTTGCTCAGTCAGATCTCTTGCTGCAGGTTTATAATTTCATTACTTTTTCAAAAATCAGAGGTAAAATTAATCATGAAAATTGGGAGAACCACTTTTTTGTTCAGAGTGAAAACTGTGTTGCTAAATGTTGAAAGAAAGTGTTCAAATTACAAGACTGTTATAATATATCTCATCCAGAGGTAGCTTCTGTGGGCTGTTTTGAGAATATATGTAGGTGATAGAAACTGTAATTTGTAATCCTAAAAATTAAATCCTGAATGTTCTTAATTTCTTATTTCATTCTACACCACTTTCTCTCCACTTTCCCCTAAATTTTGAGTAGTAAAATTAGAGTTGGAAATGTCTTGCTCTTTATATGGCATTTAATAAATATTAAGTTAATCAAATAAAAACCTGCAGTTATCAGGCCCAAATCCAAAGATTAGACAGCAAAATCCAATTGACTCCAATCCTTTTATTTGTTTACATTTAATAGACAGAAACTTGCCAGATTAAAGCTATAACCTTCTAACCTAATAGAAGTACTCCTGAGAGATTATAGGATGTTGCTTCCTTGAATTTTTTTCTCCCTCTCCCATCTAGTTCAGTCTCATATTCTGGGCTTTTCTCTGGAGTGTACTGTCTCCTCCCTGGTAAATTGTGGTGCTTTTGGCAAAATCCCCCCCCCACCCTTCTCCAGTTATATATTCTATTAGAGCGGCCAAGAGATTTCCAATTATAAATGAGCGATAAACATTATCAATGTTTATTTATACACAAATACATTTTAATGTTTAGCAATATGGAGATATGGAAAGGAATATGGAATTTTATATTAAATAGTAAGTCTGCTATGTTTAGTTATAATGTGATGGTGAAGGAGGAAAAGGCAATAGTTCGTCAGATTCAGATTTGGCTTCTATCTATGTAACGCATCTGTTGAGGTTGAAGGTTCTCTTTCTTCTGAATCATCTATAAGCAGCGTCTGAGTGATTGGTGACACCTTTCTCATTATTTCATTTCATGATTAGTAGCATCAAGCAATTCTGAGGTGATAATGAGTGTGTAGTAGATTGATTAGGGAAGACTAGGTTATTGCCAGCCTTTTTTTAAAAGTTGAAATAACATTTGGAATAAAATGTGAAAAGTAAGTTAGCAGCTTTCCTCTATATTGGCAGGATGATAGGAGGATTATTTAACAGGTTAGTTTGTACAGCACAGTCTAAATCAGAATCAATATCAGGCAAAAGAAAATCTTGTCTTTGAGGACTATGCTGCTTAATTCTTGGGTCCTGCTGTAAGCTTAAGCCTACAGAAGTAATTTCACCTTGTTGGAACTGCATTGAACAGGTAAGTTGGGAAGTTACCCTGTCCTCTAAGTCAGTGGTTCTCAACCTGTAGTCAGCGGACCTCTGGAGGCTCACAATGTCATCACAGGTGATCCACAAAGGCTTGGGGGCACAGTGGTTAGAATGCAGCGCTGCAGGCTACGTCTGCTGACTGCCGACTGCCTGCAGTTCGAATCTCACCAGGCTCAAGGTTGATTCAGCCTTCCATCCTTCCGAGGTTGGTAAAATGAGGACCCAGATTGTTGGGGGCAATAGGCTGACACTGTAAACCGCTGCAGAGAGAGGGCTGTAAAGCACTATGAAGCAGCATATAAGTCTAAATGCTATTGCTATCAGTTAGGTCCGGCTGAGAGATAAGCTGTGTTAATGGGGAGTGGTTTTTGTGGTTCTTTAATCTTGAGTCTGTTCTAAAAATTTATTAACTGAACATAAAATAGATCATTGGTGGGGAGGGGGGAGAAAAGGATGGTTGCATTCTTTTGCAGTAAAGCACTGGTTTTAGTAGAGATTATCCTCTGCTCTTGCAGAAGCCTGAACCCTTTGCAGGTGAGAAGAATGTAGGTGGATCAGGGGCTGGACTAGAGTGTTTCTAAAAATTCTAGAAGAGAAAATGTATTTTTGTTGAAGAGTTTGTCCCATCCTAAAAAAAAAAAGGTACATTAAATGGTTTATTGAAAAAGATACTTTTAAACCTTAGAAAACCAGGCAATAAGTGATATGCATTCAACCTACTGATATATGCTTGGAGTCACAGTTTTAGGCGCTTGCTCAATAATTTATTACAACTTTCCAATGTGTAAGATTCCTAGCGAACAAAGATAGAGAGCAGAGCCTGCTTCTTTTGAAGCTATGCCTTCAGATTGATTGATTTTTTAGTAGAACACCTGGCATCATTAGATTTTGTGGCATGACAACTACTAACACCAGTTGTTAGAACTTGAATCAACTTACCAAGTTTAGATTGAATGTCATTTGAGGAAATAAAGATGGCCACAAATGTAGAACCTGTACATAAACAAAGCTCTCCTAGAGTATTTGGGATGGTCTCTGAAGAGTGGTTTTTGTGTAGTCTTTCTTTTCTATTCTCTTCAGTGTTTTGTAACTGAGGGTAACTAGAACTAGGCAAGTATTGTCTTTCCTCAACCTCCTTCAGAAAAGTAGAGTTTCCTTTCTCATGGTAGCAAGCTTGTTCTTAAGTAAAGGGGTACTTACAACTCTGTAAGAATCATGGTGTGGTAGGAGACCACTTTTTTGTTTTTCTACCTTGTTTTGTTGTTTCCCCACCTTTTTTTTTTTTTTTTTTTTTTTGCACTGTTGAATACTATTTCTCAGTTGCTTCTTTCATTGGTGGTCATTTTCAAGGTAATCACAGAAGTGCTAGAAGACAAGACAAGTCATTTAAATGGCGAGAGGGATGAAGTAAGAGAGTACTGACTATGAGTGTTCAGCCAGAATATAGCACTCTAATAGGATAAAGCCAGAAATGGAAGCGATAGAATAGAATAGAGTTTCAAGATCAGTGTCCCAAGTTTCAACATTTTGGTACAAATAACATTGTGTTAATCTGTGAGCCCTGCAATATCTTCTAGTAGGTTTCTGTGTGTAATTCAAAAATGCTGTTTTTAATATTTGGGATAGGTCTTTCTTGTGCATTCTCTTCCCCCACCCCCATCTTTTATAATATGTATTCACTGATAAGGCTTAGGAAAGATAACCATTATGCTGGAGAAAATGATGTGCCGCCCTTGCTATAGGATAGAGATGGCTAACCTTTTTGCCATCGCGTGCCAGGGGGAGGAGGGGTTGCGTGCATGTGTACCCATACCCATAATTCTAGGTGCCCCGCCCCCGTGCATGCACGTGTGACACCCCTGCTTCTGGCACACAATGGCCCAGTGGGCCCGGTAAGCCTGCTTTTCTCTTTCCCCAGGTTCCAGAGCCTTTCTAGGAGCTTGGGGAGGGCAAAAACAGCCTTCCCCACCTCTCCGAAGGCCCACCGGAAGCAGGAAATGGTTCATTTGCCAACTTCTGGTGGGACCAGAAGTCCCATTTTTTGCTCTTCCCAGCCTCCAGAGCCTTTCTAGGAGCCTGGAGAGGGCAAAAATGGCCTTCGCCACCCCCCTGTTGGCTTCCGGAAGCCGGAAATGGCTGATATGCCAACTTCCAGTGGGCCTAGAAGGACTGAAAATCAGCTGGCCAGCGCATGCATGTGTGCCAGAGCTGAGCTCCCGTGCCCACCGATATGGCTACGCGTGCCATATTGCCATCACAACTATAGGATAAGCTTTGGTTCTTTTGGGAGTCATTTAGAAGGCACATGCTACTACAATAAGGTCTAAATGTTGTGGGTTTTTCAGATATTAATTCAGCATCCATAGGAATCTGAAAGTGCAGCCAGAGACATTTGTGCCACTTCTTCTAGATATTCACTTAAGATCAACTATATTTTTCTGTTGTGACACCCATAACTTAGATCACCCTCTTGCAAAATTACATGAGTTGACTTTGATGCAACATAGAATTATGCTGAAAATATTAAAACATATGTAACTCTGGATTGCAAGGAGGTGTGTTGCATGATAGGTAAATTATGATTATTTAAAATAGTAAATAAGTGTATCGGCATTGAAAGGGAGAATGTGATGGTGCTTTTTTACTGCATTATCCTGCACATACAAAATGTTTTTTGCTGTTTTTTATTGGTACAGGTGCCAGCAACATCATCAGTAAAAGGAAAGGAAAATGGCCTTCTTTTTTCACCAATAACAGGAACATGTCTAATGAGTTCATTTTCAAGTTCCAGGAGTAATCATGCCAAAGAACAGAGAAATGACCTATCAAATGGTTAGTTGAACATTTTATTCTACTTACTATGTAACTTTTCTGGTTATTGATCAAGTCAGGTTCTTGATTTAGTAATTTATGTTTATAGTTACATAAATAGCTATAATTTATTTTTTATTTTCTCCCCACCCCCCAGTGAAATTGGATTATGAGGGCCAAGATTTTTACAACTTTTACAAGCATGCTTAAACCATATTCGATGGGGAGAATAAAAAACTTGCCAGATTTTGTATGACTTCTTTACTGTACGATGAATATTTGTAAACTCCTTTGACTGACTTCCTTCAGAAATCTGTAGGAGTTTTATTTTATCCTTTACATCACTCATTTAAAGGTGCAACAAAACTCAAGGTGTTGTTTTAAAATATACATTGCAGTTAATTAACTGCAAAACAATTTCATACCTTTATTAATTGATGGAGTGTATCATACAATGTATCAATTTAGAATTCTTGATTAAACAAGTTGTGGAAGTTCTAAAGATAGAAACAGACAGTGGTAGAGACATTTATGAGGCTGAATGTTCTCAAATAAACACAGAGCTCTGTAAATTCAGCCATGAATAATTGGTTGCATTCTTTTACATTTAAAACTCAGAGGGAAAAATTCAGATGAGAAACTCCTAAGGGGGAAAAATAATTGATCAAACTAGATTTCTTTAATAGCCTTAATTTAGAAAAAGTCTTGTAACATCTTTTCAGCTATGGTACTGAAAATGTATATCTTCTGCAATAGCTATTGTTGAAAGATCTTAATGTACAGTAAAAAGAGAAGGTATCTCTCACAATGTTGAAATCTGTTCACTATTTTACTCAAGTCAATTTGCAAATATTAGGTTGTTAAAAATAATAAAAATGAAAAAAAAAAGGCTAGAAAGTTGAAAAAAAGTCTCAGAAAAATGCAGTGGCAAAATTATGGCCAAAAATAAAAAAATCCTACATGGACCAGGAGTTAAGTTAACTTTGAAGAAGCTTTTGTTTTGTTGGTCAAGTAAAGAAAATATCATTTAGGATTTTAAAAATACCCGTTTCAATTTCCAACTATGACATCTTTATCATAATACGCCCACAACTTACTTGTGCTCACACTATTTGTAAGAAATTAAATTTAGAAATTAAGAGTAGAATTTTAAAAAAAACAGCTTACCATCCGATTCTTTGGCATTATTTCTGCAGCTTGATAGAACTAAAAAAAGGAAAGCTACTGAGGCTTTGCTGTATAATTATCCATCTAAATGTCAACTGCGAACATGTGATGCCTTCTTTTATGTGCAAAAGGACTGTTCCCTTATGCCCATACTTAATTACAGCATGGAAATATAGCACACACTCACCTTTGCCTTTGACACTTAATGTTCAGGGATTTTACTTCAGGCATTTCTCCTTTTCCCCCCCACTCAGAGTACAGGCATATAAAAAATTCAGTCAATCTATATGCCACATACATATGTGCCACACAAAAATCGCTAAAAATCATAGAGTTGGTAAAAGCAAATACTTTGTATACTGTTAATAAAAGATTCATTCAGGACATCCAGTGTTTGGAGTTTTGAAGTTGTAGATTACACTATAGATTATGAATATAGATAAATCTATTATTAATATTCAACTAAGAAGACAGGAATTACTGAGTGAATATGATAAATTCTTCAATTTGTATAATTGCTTTTTTACCAAGTAGCTCTAACTTGCAGTATGATGTACAAAGAGTACAGATTTTCCTTATTTTAATTGGTCCATATTAAGCCATAAATTTCCAAACGATATTTTCTTTCTTCTCTTCGGTGTCTCTGTATCATTTCTGTTTTGACATGTTACTTGGCTTTAAGCCTGGTTTAAGGCAAGATTTTAAATAAAAAAGCCCTTATTGTTCCTCAGGCCTTTTTAATGCATTTTACACTACAAGTAGTCCTCGTATAACAACTGCAGTTGGGACCAACAACTCCATTGTGAAATGACATGGCTCTTAAGTGAAACTTCACATGATTGCGCCAGGCTTAGTATATCCGTTCTGCTGTGGTTGTTAAATGAATTGACTGCAGTTGTTAAGCATAATGTCACATGACCACGGTTTGCAACTTACTAACAGCTTCTCCAATGACTGCTTATTGGAAGCTGAGCTGGCTGTGAAGGACCAAGTATAAAGCTACTTTTTCAGTGCCATAATAAAATTGAATGGTTGTTAAAGAAAGGCAGCCATTAACCAAGGACTACCTGTATTTTCTGTATCTCATCCCACACAAACTCTAAAAATTAGATTCCCCCTAATATCCCTTAGCTCCCATCTTGGCATTCCAGAAGGCTTTAAATAGTTTGGCTGTTTTCCCAGGCCTTGTGCTAGGGTGGTCAGGATTTGTTTGAGAGGGTCAGTGGGTTAATCATTAGTTCTTATTTTTTATCATTTTCTTACTTGTTTTTATAACTGTTATATTGTATTTTCTATTTTATTTTGTTTTATTATGCATCTCCCAAAGTCAGTTTAGAGCTGGACGGTGCCTAAATTGAATAAATTAAAACAAAATAAAATTAATTAATTTATGATCCCATAGCTAGTATTCTGTCTATATTAGCATGACATAATAAACAACAGGCTATTTTACTAATTTAATTAGATTTCTAAGCATTAATGTTTTAAAAATTGATTTTAATCCTTACAAATCCCTTTAATGGCTATACATAAATGCAGAAATCTGTGAGTGCCAAATTCAGTGACCAAACAGAAAGGTAATTAATATACTTTAATGAGAGAAAGCTTCATTTCTGTATCAAATATGGGAAAGGACCAGGTTTCTCAGGCTAATAATAGTTATTCAGGAACCAGGAGGACACATTTTGCAAACGTTCAAGAGCATTTTTCGAGGATGTTCAGGGCATTCAGATTAGGTCCAGTATAAAAGCCACTGTTGTTTATGAATCAAACATAAGGTCCTTCTCACTGTGTTTAGAACACTATTTAAATTTGGGAATGGGACATCATTTGTTGTAATCTGCAGAGAGCTTGTGTGAAGAGATCCTGCAGCCTTTCTGTACTTCAGTTCTGCACTTAAGATATATTCCTGAAGGAGTAAAATAACAGAATGTTATACATTGTAAATTTTAAGTCATGACTTGACATGCATACAATCAGTAGATTCGGTGCAGTGCAGGAAAACACTCCTAGTGATATTTACATGGTACTTTAATCATCCCCGACCTCTTTCACTTTTAGATAGCCTTTAATTCTCCCTTAGTTGGAATCATTTGGTGTCACAAGACTTGGGAGCAAGCTGTGCTCAGCGGATTGCCACCTCCTACTACTTGTGCCCTACGCTCAGCACTAATTCTGTTGCCTCTTCTTTTAAGTCCAGTCCATCCTGTCTCCCAGAGGGAGGCGACATAGACCACACAGTGATTATCTCTTTGCCTTATTCCTTAATGTGCTTGATTAGAGAGGGCAGGAGAGGAAAAATAATTGAGCCAAGCAGGCTCTACGATGGAGAGATCACATGAGCCCAGTCATGTTGTCTGTATTGTCCCTTCCTGTTAATCTGCAGATCAGGACATTTTAGTTTTCTGAACATAACTGTGTTGCGATTCTTTTGAATGAACGGTCATTAAGCTTCATTCACGTGTGAGTGAATGTTTGTTGCTTACTTATGGCTTGATCTGCACGTCCTGTGTTAGGATATGGGCATACACTTCGCATTCAATTTGCCATCGAGACAGACTGTAAGGATAATATTTGGCCAGAAGATCAGCAGCAGCTATTTAGTTACTTGGATTTTTATGCCAATCCTCTCATGACAGTCTCTCTGGGCAGCTTCTGTAAATAAAAAGATAATGCCGTAATCCTAAAAAAACAACCATGTGCAGAGTGCAGAATCAGCTTGAAGAACAGACTGGTGCACTAGTCAAAACTGAACAGGAACACACAGAACCCTTTCATGTGTTTGCTTCCAAATCGCCTTAAGAAAAGGAATGGTTTTAAACTATTTAACCAGAGAATAAAGCAGTAAAGAGAGGGGAACTATCTATGGTCTGGAACCTCTACATGCTCTGTGTTGCTTTCTTGGTTAAAGGATGGGTTTGGGGTTTTGAGGAAAGAAATTTCTCCCTGTCTCCCTGATGCAAAATGTTCTAGTTGTCTAGAATGCTGAATTCCTTTTTCAGAGCCTTTGAACTTTCTCTGGATAGAGAGGGAAAATACATCCCTAATTTAAAAGCCACTGTTTGGGGATTTAAACCTCTGTTCTGTAGAAAACGTTTGCCTATCTTACCCAGCTATCGCAATGAGATTGACTGCTAAAAAGTGTTACGGTTGCTAAGGATTAACTTTCATAGGGCTTTCCCCACTTTGGGGTGATATTGTACATATTATATAGTACAGTGACATTGAATTAAAATCAAAGTCTTGTGTACTGTTTCCTTTCGGTGATTTCAAAAGTATGAGATAACCCTCATTCTTTTCTATATTCTCTGTTGAATACTTTTTTAAACCAGTTCAAATTGAGTGTCTTGTTTTCCTTCCTCATTCCAGTCCTTCTACCTGGGACAATGATGGAGTCTTTGTGAGAGGAATCAGGGGCTGGCTAATGTAAATAATCCACTCCACTAGAAGCATCCTAATTCTGAGATACTTTTTGGTTTCCAGGGTTTAAACAGTGTATGTGTGTGTATATACATAGTATACACATGTATGTGTATGTGTACAAAAACACACAGACACAGAGTATATTAGATAGATAGATAAATAGATAGATAGATAGATAGATAGATAGATAGATAGATAGATAGATAGATATAAACAGAGAGACAGAGACACATACAGATACAAGCATACATACATAACATTCATACATATTATATTAATATGGAGAGGAGTTTCTGTTCATCAGCAAAATGGGAAGTGTTCTTTATTGAGAAGATAAATAATTTATTCCTACTTCTTTAATTAACTTTGTAGAAATTGGAGAGTCTTCCAAAGTCTTGCCAATCCAATCCAATAGAAAGGAGCAACATCAAATGAAGAACAATGACAAGTAAGGTTTTCCATTGAGTAATTATCATGAAGTTCCAACTGCAGGTGATTTGGGAGTGTTCAAAGCATTAGCACTTCTAGATGCCATATATACAAATACTTTTTTGCACTAGTATTTCCTGTGCATTTCCATGTTTTAATGTTTTGAATGACACATTCATCCAAGGGATTGAAAAGAAGATTAAAACCCTCACTTTATCGTGCTTGCCATGCTTTTTCTTTGTATTTTATGTTTTATTGGTTTTATTTTTATTTTTTTATTTGATTGTTGTGAGCTGCCCAGAGTCATTGAAAGTTGTGAACTGTGTTAAATAATTTATCTGTATAGGTAGTCCTTGGCTAGTGATGGTGATTGGAACCAGAATTTCCATCACTAAGTGATGTGGTCGTAAAGCACAATGTCCATCACATTACTTAGTGACAGAAATCTCAGCAATCAGAAAATCCCTATTGGTATTTTTAATTGAATTCCCCTGGTGGGAACCCACTCCAATCCAAGCCATTACTGATTTGGTACCTCCCAGCCCTGAATTTCAATAAGGGACTTTCTTGTCCTGAAGTCCCCCCATCTGCCTAGCTTCCCCCACTGCTCTTTTGGCTGCCCTGCATTGTGACATCCTTCAACAGCAGTGGCAACTCTGGGACTGAAGTAAAAGTCCAGTACCTTCAGTAGATTCTGCTGGCTGTAGCTGCCTTGGGCCTCTACTTCAGCCCCAGCACTGCCAGCGCCGTTGCAGAGTGTTACCTCAAATTCCATGCTGCAGCCAGCAACCCAGCACCACAGCACAAAGCCACAGCTGCTCCCACCATCTAGTATCTATTGTACCTTGTACTCCACCAGCCCTACTGCACCTAGGTGACATTTGCTGCCTTCTCCCTTCCGCTGCTGCTGAGGCATCTCTGGCCCGGCCCTATGCAAGGCGGCCACTAACCACCCCAGCCTTCTTCCTTTTTTACAAATTGCATGTACTGTTCTCCAGATTGCATGTGTCCTCACGATTCTTTGGAAGGCCTCTACGTCAGCCCCAGTGTAGCTGTCACTACGACCACCGCTAAAGCAGCACTCAGGCAGAGATGGGGCCCTAGAAGCACCCCTGAGACCCTTAGTCTTGTTGATGTGAGTGAATGACCATGCCTGAATTTTGATCATGTGATCACAACGGTGCTGCAACAGCCATAACTTCGGGGACAAAGCGTAAATACTATTCAAATAGTTTTTGAATAATTTCAACAATTATACAGGATTAGCTGTTGCCTAATCCTGCAAGAAACTGTTATTCCTTCCAATGTTGTTGCACTGGATTTGGCAGCAATGCCATCCAGTATGGTTGATGATGAGAGAGGTTAAGAGTTGTAGTTTAGCAACATCTGTGGAATCCTCATCTTTATCCTATAATATCAGTTTGGTTGTTTCAGCTGTTCGGAGCAAGCAATTGTTACTTGAGCTTTTATTTAATATATTTGTACAGTGTAGTCCTTCTGTCAAATATCGACCTTCTAACGGCCTTCAGAATAGTGCTGGGGTTTCCATTGTTCTTTTTTCTCTGTTCTTATATCCACTGTTTACTTTCTCCTTGATCTTAAACAACCATGAATTTGGAATGTGGCTTGGTTGGAATTCTTATGTACAGTACTAACACTGGGATATCTGGGTAAGTAGATACTAAATTAGTACACTGAAGCATGTTTGCAATCTTAATGCAACCAGGAAGAAACCCGATGAACTAGAAATATTTTTCAGATGCGTGCCATAATGTAAATAGTTGCAACTTTATATGGCTGTTGTTTTAACCTTAATTGGGGTAGGGACAGGTTGTTTGCTAAAAGCACAACTTTACACGGAAGGTCTAGTTTTTCCTTATTTCTATTTTCCTTATTTTTGTTTCAAGTATTGTGCCATTGATGTTGTATTTGTCTTTTTACATAGACTCTTGGTATTGCAGTCTGAAGTTGAACATTCCCTGGAAAGATTCCTGAAAATCCGAAAAAAACTAACCAATCTGAAGGTCCATCATTATGCTTTTCTGCTTTATCAAATTAATTCAATTATCTTGATTTAAAACAAAAAAAATCATTACAGCTTAGTTTTTATGTTCTTCCTTTTCTTATTGTGAGTTGAGTTCAGTAGAAATACTAAATATTCCATAGATGCATATGTGTGCTTGTGCCATCTCTTCAAGGTAGACCCGACTAAGGAACCAAAGTCATATACACTAATGCTACATTTATTATAAGTTTATATTAACAGAATTTTGCAAATCTGAGTGTTTCCCTGCTCTCTCCCTTTGTCTTTGTGAAAACTAGGGAAGGTTTTCTCTGAGATGCTTGCTCAGGCTACAGTTTTGCTCTGGATTTAGATTTATTTTCTGACTATAGTCCTGGTTATGGATCTTTCTCCTGTTCCTCAAGGTGAATCTTTCTGCCCATTACATCTTTCCAAGGGGTCTGGAATAGCTCTCTACATTCTCACAAGTTCTTTTCTAACAAGTTGCCCCTTTCTGCATTCACCTGCTACTTTCACTGTCTGAGAGGTGCATGTGTGTAAGAGGATTTGGGGATGGCTTTGCTCCTACTTTTCATTTTGTTCAAAGTTTATAATAATTGAAAAATATGGGAATCACTGTCAGTGAATTTTAAAATGTAACAGTGGAATAATTGAATTAATTATAAGTAATAATAGTACAACTTCTTTAAAATATCTAAGTAATCCTACTCTTTTGCAGTGCAACTTCCGATATGCTTTTTAAAGTCTGGTGTTTCCCTTAGCCTTAAAAATGTTTAAATCTTGATATAGTAGCTGAATATGAATTTGGATTGGAGGACATCTGAATTAAAATCACGGTTCAACCATTCCTGCATTTTCATGTTGGTGCATGAGATTAAGACAGAGTTATGGGAAACAATACATTTTATCTGATTTGCTCTAGGAGAGATGATAAAATAATCCAAGGTTACCCCAACAGGCAAAAACTTCAAATCATATCCAAAATTTATTTATTTATTTATTTGTTCAACTTGAATGAAATTCCTGGTTTCTCAGTTCTCTAACTACCAAATGTAGCCAGGAAATTAACTTTCAACTTCATTGAACTGATCCTATTGGGCATATTTCTAATATAACGTGCTAGTAACATGATATGTTTTATCAATTGAAAAGAGTGGAAGATTTAAGAAATGTTGTTTTTAGGTTAAAAACCTTAGCACTGATACTAACTTTCTCAAAAAAATAATAATCTGTTTTTCAGGCTTTAGAGGGCACCGGAGAGCTGGAAAATATTCTGGGCACTTCAAACAAGCCTGGTAACTTAAAAATTGAAGTGAGAAAATCCAGGAAACTGAGTAAGAAGGATTTTATCTCATTCCAGGTTTTTCTGACAGAATTTAAACTTTACATTTTGTAGGAGGGCTTGGAGCTATAATTGTATTATATAATAATATAAACCCTTCATTGGTTTATTTTTTATAACTTTTGAAGGCTCTAAAGACACTTTGCATGGAACAAAACAATTACAAAGATAAGTGGAGATATATATATAAAGTTATTTAAGGCAACACAGCTCAATCCTGTATTTATCTAGTTAAATACAGTATTAAATTTAGTGAGACTCATCTCATGCAAATAGGACTATACCCTTAAATTAAAGTGTTCTGTTGAGGAAGTTAAAAAGTAACCTAATGTTTAATTCTTCACAGATGAAATGACCAAGTTTGGCATCCTATCTGTATTTCTCAGTTTACTAATCCATTCATGTATAAGACTTTCTGGGTTTTAATTTAGACAATATCAATATTATGGCTTTACGTGCATATTTTCTTCTAATACTTGTCCTTTATCGGTTCTTGTAATATAAGAATTTTGTTTACAAACTCTTTAGTGTATTCTAATATCCTCACCAATGTGTGTAGTAATATGCAAGATAAATTGTGTGGGTGGATATTTCCATAAATTAAGATGTATTATTGCCATTTATATTAAAATTTACTAAGATTCTATTTGCTGCTTTTCTTTTTTGGGGTAATATAGAAGTGTTGTAAGGTCTAAGGGTGATTTCCCTTCTCATTTCCTTAAATTAGATGAGAAAACTGTAAAAAGCATACAAACTGTCATAAAATTTGAATAAAAGTTGCAATAGTGAAAATAACTTTTCAATACAGACTGGATTATTAAGGTCTATTAAACATAAAATCTGTGAGACCTTGATTAGTATTTAAAATTTGATTTTTATGCCTACAGCTGGTCTTGTAAATAAAATGGCTTGATTTCCTGTCTACCTGAAACCCTCTGTTATCATTCCTGATGCTTTCTTAGAAAACACTCATTCTATAACTATAATGGATGTAGAAATCTGCATTCAATTCAGCATTTTTAAATGTAATGATTTCATTGGGTGTTACTTAACCACCATTTTAAACATTAGAATCACACAAGTAGAGTTCTCGTGGTATCTAAATATTGTTTCTTCTTCAGTTGAGCAAGTCAGAAAGAGAAACCTGCAAAAACCGGGTGCTGTTAGACTTTCTACTCAAGGTGAGGTTTTTATTCCTTAATATTGTATAACATTTGCTTTGATGGCTAATTTACTAGGGAATTCCATTTCTTGACATGCTGTTTCGCAAGGCACCATCCCACCCATCCCTTACAGTATAATGTAACTTTCGTCTCTTCCCCAAGCACTTAAGCAGGTATATAAAGACACATTGTCACATTTAAGGGTCTAACTCGAGGTGTCCAACCTTGGCAACTTTAAAAACTGCGAATTCCCCAACCAGCCATGTTTACATGTCTTAAACATTAAGACCTGTAAAGGGAGTGTCCCAAGGGAGACACTCCTGGTCCCAAGGGAGGACACTCCCGGTCTAACCAAAGTGATATGGTCTAAGAAGCTGCATTTGGTATTAGTTATTTTGCAATTTATCAAATGCCAAGAGGCTAGATATTTTGGACAGATGTTTCATTTTTTAAAACTCCAAATAAGATGTTGAATTGTTTATTTACATATCTTTCCCCTCTGGCTAACGAGGTGAAGGAAAATCTGCAGCGCCTTGTGATGTTGATGTCCTTTTTTAATGATTGAGAACCACAAAAGTAGAAGTAGCAAACCCAGTTTTCTCCAAGCAGATGCCTAGGCAGCCCAGGAGAAAGAAACATACTGCTGATGAACTGCAAAAACCTCATTCCCATTTTTTCCCACTTTATTAACAAGCTTCCCCAGTTGGCACTCACTCCATCAGTGTCCACCAATAAGTGGTATGGAGTTGAAGTCCAACACGGTTGAAGAGGTCACATGAAGTTGGATTTATCTTTGTAACAGGGATGATTGGCTGGTGGGGAAACAACTACTGTAGGGTATTACAGACTGAACTAATTTATGGATTATTTATTTATTTATTTATTTATTTATTTATTTATTTATTTATACATACATACATACATACATACATACATACATACATACATTATATCTGCAAATTCATTGGAAGCCTTGAGTGGGAACACTTTAGAACATGGTTGTCCAATCTTTTGGCTGGCCTGTACTGCATAGAATGAAGAGGAATGGTTTTGGGCTGCACACAAAATATAGTTAATATATATAAATAACAAACTTCCTTTATTTTTTAATGTTATTTTTTTAATGATTTTGTTGGGCCCATTACAGGCTGTCCAGGGCCACATGAGGCTCATGGTTTGGACACAACTGCTTTAGAGAATCAAGAAATCAGGGACAATTTTGATTTATATTCTGGCTTTGCCTTCACATAAGAAAATGACAGAATTTATTGTCTGACATTGGTTTTTGCAGCCTGTTATCGTGGTCTTTGAATAAGCTGTTTGAAATCCAGTTTCCATGAAATCCGATAATTCTCTTATATCATTGGAAAATTTAGTCCTACAGGATGAGCATTGATAGAATTGATATTTATTTACTGAGTCTGCATTAGATCTGCAATAATTTGACAGTTACAGTGGCTCTTGACTTTTTATTTATTTCTTTGATTGCCAAATGCCATTATTTTCTAAAATGAGTTTTGCAGCAAGTTTTTTTAAAAGGATACTAAGGCGGTTCAGAGATCCTAAATAATATCCAGTGAAGTACAATTGTATTCTTCCCCACGGAGCCCTTGTATTGTCCAAAATATTTTTATAGAAGATTGGGACAAACAATGGAAGTGCGGGAGAGAGGTCTGGAGAGAGAGGAGAAAGTTGGGAATATTTTACACAGATGGTCATAGCCCCCCACTATTTTAAAATCATTCTGGGCTTTCCAGAGGCTCTTATGCAAACATGCAGCTTATATAGAAATGTTTCTTATCAAATTATTTTCCTACCAAAATCTTTTTCTTTGCAATGTTGAATCCACAGAGAAGAACCAAATGTACACATTTGGGGAGCAGTTTGCTTTTTTTAAAAAAATGTGCAATCTTTATCTTGAGACTCACACAAACATATTCATGTTTTGCATTTTGAAAGAGTAGACTATGACAAAACACAAGGAAATGTGATTCGGTGATCATGGTCATGAAGATTCGAGAACAGTGGTGTCCAGCCTTGGCAACTTTAAGACCCGTAGATTTCAACTATTACAATTGCTGGTAGTTGTATGCTGGCTGGGGAATTCTGGGAGTTGAAGTCCACAAATCTTAAAGTTGCCAAGGTTGAACACCCCTGCTCTAGAGTCTGCATGTGATCCTAGAGCACCTTCAGTTGCTACCAGTGGTGAAATCTAAAATTTGTTACTACCAGTTCTGTGGGCGTGGCTTGGTGGTGGGGGGGTAATGTGACTGGGTGGACATGGCCAATTTTTTTTTCTTTTAAAACCATTTTTTCTACAACCTCTTCGGCGAAGAGGTTATAAAAAAATGCTTTCAAAAGGCTCTGACGATCCCAGTTGAGTTGCCTCACCGGCAGAGGCTTTTTTCCTTTTACAAGCCTCTGCTGATCAGGCAACTCAGCTTGGATCGTCAGAGGCTTTTAAAAGAAAAAAAAACCTCTGCAGATCAGGTAACTCAGCTTGGATCGTCAGAGGCTTTTAAAAGAAAAAAAAGCCTCTGCTGATTAGACAACTCAGCTTGGATCGTCAGAGGCTTTTAAAAGAAAAAAAAACCTCTGCAGATCAGGTAACTCAGCTTGGATCGTCAGAGGCATTTAAAAGAAAAAAGCCTCTGCTGATTAGACAACTCAGCTTGGATCGTCAGAGGCTTTTAAAAGAAAAAAAAAACCTCTGCAGATCAGGTAACTCAGCTTGGATCGTCAGAGGCTTTTAAAAGAAAAAAAAGCCTCTGCTGATCAGGCAACTCAGCTGGGATCATCAGCTGATGATCCCTTTGACGATCCCAGCTGAGCCATGCGATCATCAGAGACTTTTTTTTTTTACTTTTAAAAGCATTTTTTTGGCCGAAGAGGTTGTAGAAAAAATGCTTTAAAAAATTAAAAGAAAAAGCCTCTGATGATTGTGTGGCTCAGCTGGGCATTGGGGGGGGCAGGGATTTTTTCTATTGGTTCTCTGAACCACCCGCCTCCATCGCTACTGGATCGGGCGATCCGGTCCAAACCGGGAGCATTTCACCCCTGGTTGCTACCCTTTATGCTAAGACAATGGTGCAGTTTTCCTGCAGAAGCAGTGTTACGGCAATTTGTGGTGAGGAGCACTTCTCTCTATTCTGCTGGAATCCTTGGCCTTTAATACAGATTAAGCCTCACTTAGTACTTAGCTCCCTTTAAGGAAACACATGCTGCCATTTTTCCCCTCGGGCATCTTTAATTCACTGATCTTAATAAAAGCTACCTTTTTTTTTTTCCAGTGTTCTTTGGGAAGCTTACAACAAATTGGAGCCAGAACATACAATGTTTTTAGTGTTCTTGACACCATGAAAGCAGCATATTTAAGGGGAATATAATCTGTTAATACCTGAATTTACACACACACTTCTGTATCTGTCTTACCCACATCACCATTTCTTAACTTCAAATCTCTCTGTGTACAGTATAGCCTTGGTGCCACCCAAGGCTTTAATAATGATAATATTTCTCTAATGTCTATTACTGGGGGACTTGAGAACACTCAACATTTATGAATACAGCCTTGCCACATTGCAGAGACAAATGAACTCTATTTTACAAAGTCCAATCTCACCAAGGCACTTAAAAAGATGAGATGCTTAACTGACATCACTGCTTAGCTGACCCACCTGAAGGTTTAAGCATATCTTATTTAAAAATAAGCACTTTATAGTTCTGTTTCATATTATGCACTTCAGTGGCTTAAAATCAGGAGGTTATGAGCTAGTGAGATAAACGATCTTTTTCCATGGTCTTAAGGAGTATTTCTAATCACTAGTTTTTCATAGACATTCTTCGTAAAGTTGTCTAAGTTTGACAGATGGAGGAAAAATCTACCTTGAAAGCATAAATATATCATGTGTTACACAGATTCATAGAATTTGAAAGACTGTTTAGACCAGTGGTGAAATGTAAAATTTGTTACTACCTGTTCTGTAGGCGTGGCTTGGTGGGGGGAGGGTAATGTGACTGAGTGGGCATGGCCCACCCAGAGGCTTTTAAAAGCCAAAAAATGCTTTTAAAAGCCTCTGACGATCCTAGCTGAGTTGCCTGATCAGCAGAAGCTTTTTTTTCTTTTAAAAACATTTTTTCTACAACCTCTTCAGCTGAAGAGGTTGTAGAAAAAATGCTTTTAAAAATAATGTAAAAAATGCCTCTGATGATTGCGTGGCTCAGCTGGGCATGTGGGGGGGCAGGGATGTTTGCTACCAGTTCTCCAAACCACCCTCCGCCATCATTACCAGCCTGGGTGATCCAGTCCAAACTGGGAGCATTTCACCCCTGGTTTAGACCAAATCCAGTTCCTTGTTAGTGCAGGAATCAAAATTAAAGCACCCCGTCAGATGACTATGTGCTGAGCATATCCAGCACCAGAGAGCCTTCCACTTCTTAAGATTATTTGTTCCATTATCTAACAAACTGCTTTTGCTCTTAAGATTTTCTGAACATTCAATCTCTCTCCCTCCTCCCTCCCTCATAAGAGAAGCTTATTCTCTTATGTGGAGACATCTTCTCCCCTATCAACACTGATAGGAGGAGGATATTGTGGAGGATATTGTGGAGGAGATCCACAATATATTGTGCCCCCCACTCCTAACCTCTGGAGCTGGTCCAAAAGGATATCATGGAAGATAGTATTGAAGGCTGGTGGGAGATCAAGAGAAGCAAGGACGAATCCTGCCATCCTGATTCTTCTTGCGGTCATCCAGGAATGTAACCAATGCCATCTCGGTTCCATACTGAATCTCAACTGCAAGGGAACCACATGATCCGCTTCATACAGGGCCCTCTGAAGCTTGCCTCAAAAAGACAGGGCAAAGATCCTTTTCCACTTCCTCATATCTAATGGGATCATGTTTGCACTGGTATATGTGCATGTCTGCTTTTTTTGCTACACTGATCATGTTTACAAGAAGACTTGATTCCAATCTGGTTAGTCAATCATTTAGAAAGAATTGTTTCATCATAGC